AACTAAAGGTTGGGTCTCTTTAAAAGTTTTATCTATTTCTAAAAAGTTCCATACACACCTATTGGTCTCATTAACTGGGCACCCTCTCTACTATACATACCATTCTCCCTTCTTCATAACTACTTCCCCTTCTACCTATTGTCCTCCTACCACTCTCTCCCTCACTGCACTGAGTTACTGAGAGCTGATATATGTAGCAAATCTCAGTTTCTCCAAGACACAGAATTTTCTCTTTCTGTCCAACAAAATAAACAACTAATAGGGGGGAAAGTGCTTAATATATGATAAAAAGCCCCCCAAACCCATCTGCAGAGTATCTAGTCAGAGTAAGTCACTGGCAGACACCCCCTAGCCACTGGCAAGGGTCTCAAACAGCCTTACTATCAGAGATCACTGTCATCTTAATTATTCTGGATTGAACTTGATACTTGGTCAGTTGACCTCCCTATTGACCCACCATTTGTTCTAGATGCAAGGATCTCTTGTGTATTCCATGACAAAAAAAAAAAAATTGCCTGGTTTTTTAAATATTGATGGTGGTCTTTTCTTTCTTATTCATTATTTGTATTTTTATCTTTATATTATTATTATTTTATCTTTACCACTTCATTTCATTTCTGTTTTTAATTATTTCTGTTGGGTTTTCCAATTTGTGAAGCACAGAAGGAGTGGATGCATAGAGACAGTAACTGATGCAGGGGTTTACAGGGTATGTAGGAATGGAGGAAGGGAGATAAGGAGGGTAAAGGGATTTCGAGACTAAACAATGAATGTGGAAGGTGAGGGGCACTAGTTACACAACTCATTTTAAAGGCGATTTAACTATGAAAAAAATTGTTTTAATTGATTGTGATAATGACTGTAAAATTCTTCTTGATATGATGGAACTATTGAATTGTATAATATGTGGATGATGTGCCAATAAAACTGTAAAAAAAACAATATATATATGATAAACGCAGTGTTTAGTTCACTTGTTAGGTGACATCAAGTAGTTTGCAACTCGGTGACCCTTTGTACAACAGAACGTAACACTACCTAGTCCTCACCATCTGCACAATTATGTTTGAGCCCATTGTCAAGCCAATGTGACAATCCAGTTCATTGGGGGGTCTTCTTTTCTGCTGATGCTCCACCTTACCGTGAGTCTAGCCTAATTCATGGTAGGCCAGAGTTTAAAAAGTGAAAGTGAAATGAGCAACAACAACAATTCCCTAAGGTGTTCTCCTATCAATTATCTGAGCAGGAAAGATGGAGAGAAAGACAGAGATTTTACTCACAGGTTGGTAAAGATTTTAATCACTGGTTGTTTGCTCAATCTTTCCTAAAAAAAAAACCAAAAAACCTCACTGCCACTTTGTCAATTCCAATTCATCATTATCCTGTAAGACAGAGCAGAACTGCCCTTGTGGGTTTCTCAGACTAAATCTTTACGGAAATAGAAAGCCTCCTCTTTCTCCCACAGAGCTGCTGGTGGTTTCATACTACTAACCTTGTGGCTAGCAGCCCAGCACATAACCCATTAGAGCTCAATCTCTCCTGCTGAAATCTTTTAAATGGGGTTTTAGGTGATGATCATAGTATATTCTTTATTACAAACTGGATATTATGATAGTATAATTTCCTTGTTAAGGGACCATCCTTCCATCCAAATTCTCAAGAAGCAATAAAAGTAAAAGATTATGGAAAAGGCCTCTGTTATAGAGGTACAATGAACAGTGCTCCTAAGGTGAGAACAGAAACATATTACTTCCTCTTAAATGACCCTCCATCAACATCCCCAGAATACTACATGGAGGTGGGGGGTGGGGGGGTGGCAGGTTTTTTTTTCTCTTCTATACATCATCAGTTCTGTTCCTTTTCACACTACAGGCATGGTAAACAATTCACAAATGGTTCCAAAAGAAAGAGCTTCATCTAGTTCATTAAAACTCCTTTTAAGCTAAATCTTGATTATTTTTTAATAAGAAAGCAAGGGAACTTTGTCAAACCACTGCACCCTTCATTACAAAGATACTGAAATCCTGATCTATAAGAAAGCTTCTCTTATGTATGTGTCTTTCAAGGCTGCCAGGTATGGTGGTTTCCACAAGGGATTTTCCAAAATGAGATCTCTTTCAATGAAAGCTGAAACTCTTAAGTCACTATTAGCTGGACAAAAATCAAAAGGAACATTAGGGAACATTCTGAATATAAGAATAGCTAATGGGAATCCAAAGCAAATAAGATGCCAAAATGTATTCAAAGAATTGAAGGAATTTAGTAAGCAAGACAAATAAGGTAAGCCGTTATTTCTTTATAACTAACTGATATTTTAACTACAGTGCTTTATAGATGAAATTCAAAGTAAAATAAAAACTGAATTCAAAAAGAGTATGGATATAAAACAAAATAAAATCTCTGTGGTCCAAAGAGATTTTGCTTAACATTTTAATAGCCAAAGTTGAAAGAATTACATTTCAGCAATAAAAAGCTATTTCTAGTTTACAATGAGTTCATTCTAATAATAAGTCACTACTCCAATACACACTTTCCACTATAACAGAACTTAAATACAAACTCAGTACAGTTTTCTCGTGTCCCATTTTTCAGGACAGGTTCACAAATTGAGTGAGGCTTTCCTTTCAAAAGACTGGTCCATATTGTATACTGCAGATTTGTTTAGTGAACTTTTTCTTATCTTGATGGCAGCCCCCCTTTACTGAGATTTATTTTGCTTTTATATTGACAGCTGGCCAAAAGGGGGGAATGGGAGTGGCAATATCACAGCAATCCACTTAGAACAAGCAATTCTAAATCTTGTCTACAAAAGGTGTATTTTTATTTCCTCACCGTACTTTCTAAAAGTAAAAATTCTCCAAAAATCTAACAAGTGGTTAGAGTGGGCTCTTTCTGTTCTCGAGTTCTGCACAGATATTCAGCCAACCACAAATAGAAAATAATCAAGTTGGGTTTTTTCTAAGCAATTAAGTGGACAAAGCAATCCCTTAAAGACTAGGAAACAAAAAAAAGAAGACTAGGAAACCAAAAAACTAAACTCACTGCCTCTGAGTTGATTTCAGATCACAGCAACCCCCTCCAGAGTTTTCAAGACTAAATCTCTCCTACCTAATCTTTCTCTCTGAAGTGGCTAGTAGCTTCGAAATGCAGTAAGCAGAATGCTTAACCTACTAAGAAACCAGGCGCCTGTGCATAAGCTATAGATGAGATTTTTTAGTATCCTCAGATATTGGTATCCAGGGGGGACCTGGAACCAGTCCACTGCAGATACCAATGACTATACAACATTGCCTATAAAATGAGTGAGGGCATCTAATCAAACAGGCACTAACAAACCTTTAGCTTTCCCCTATTTCAGTTTTAAGTCCACATGAATGACTCATGAAGTGAGTGACTTAACTTCCTAAATGAATCACACTTTCCAAAATCCTTATTCTACACGAGCATATTCTAATACTAGGCCGTCATCTCTACATTTGTTAAACAGAGCATGATGCTGACTAAACAGAGCTATTTCCCCAAGGCTTTCAAAACACACCAAACCAGAAATCCCTAACTACCTGCAGCTCATGGTCAAATTCACCTTTCCATCCAGCTTTGCCCACAAAATACAATGTTACCTTGAAGAAAAAAAGTATTTTAAGCACTGATTAAACTTCAGCCATCCATATACTCTTCCACCAACAACCCGCCCCCACCCCACCCCAGCGCTCTGCTTCCATCACTGCACCTACATTCTCTTCCCAATGGAGATAACAAAAAACTAGTGCCACCCTGATATCACTCATTGCATAATCATTACATACATAACATACATCTACCGGGTTTGGTTGTTTCTTTTGTATAAAGCAGATACGCTGCGTCACGAAGTGAAAATGTAAACAGAAAAACAAGCTATAAACTGTTCAAAGTTTAGGACACACGATTTCCCTAGTCATGTATCAGCAGCCTGATACTTGTAACTCCCACGGTGGAAAAGTAAGGCAAGCACTTGAACTTTTTCTCCCCGGGGAAGAAAAAGAAGTGGGTTTCTACGGGTCCTCTTGCTTGCTGCACAATCGCCAGAGCTTGGCAAGGGAAGCCAGACTGGCTGGGCTGTATAAATTTAATTATCTGGGTGTGAATAGCAACTCATATTAGTCAAGCATTAACCCTGACCCTCCGAGCAAATGCCCGTTAATGCCAGCCCTTCGGTTCGGGTCAAGTGGGGGGTGTTGCGGCGGGAGGGGGGCGGGCAGCGAAAATCACATAAAATGCTCAGCTCTGTGCCGGGCTGGCTTCGTTGCCTGCACGGAACGTCCTGGGACAAGCCCTCGGGCGTGTGACGTCTGGGGCGGGGACGAGGGAGCCCCGGGCACCCTAAGCAGGGGGACGGCTGTCCAATTTAGTTTCTCCTTCAATGGGAGGCACACCTCCCCGGGCGCAGGGGGCTGTGCGCGCTAGGACCGGGAGCGGGGGCCGAGAACCCGGC